GAGAGCCAGAGTTCAGGGCTCATCGTCCCCAAGTAACTAAATGCTGACAGCCTTTGGAACACTCTTCCTCTGAAAAGCCAGATGGGAAACTAAATCGCCACAGATTCAGACCCAGGACCTTCTCAGACCTGCCCGTCCTGCGCCCAGCACCGCTTGGGCCCCAGCCGGGGTGGGCCCCGAGGGGCACAGGCAGCCCGGCGGGGGCCCGCCCCGCACCGCCAGCCACCCAAACCCTGCCTTCCTCCGGAGATGCCGCCTTCACCTGCGTGAGCAGCTTATCGCTGTCATACGCCGACAGCTTTCACACCTGCCCCGACAGAGTCCCACGCTGGCCAGCTCTTACTTATATTCTACAAATTAAAGTTTTTTTAGGCTTAAAAGAGGTGTGAGTACATTTTACATCCATGCACCCTGAAAAAAACAACAACAAAAAGAATTTCCAAGCATGCTGAATGGCAAGCAGAAACTGTTAACTATTTTTTTTTTTTTCCAGGCTGAAATTCCACACCAAAATAAAGCTTTCAACCCTGAACGGGTGCAGAGATTAAAAAAACAAACTGAACTTTCACCTCTCGAGCCGAGACGTGCGGTAAATTTGAAGTGCATTTAGGGGCTGGTTCACGTGAAGTTATTTTTCATCTCTGCGCTTCCCGGTTGAAGTAGCAAGAGTCACAGGCAAAGCTTCGTCTGTGCAGATTCAAGAGTGTTCACTTCAAAGAGCTGAAGAAGGGAAGCGAAGACACCAGGGTACCTTTGGCACTGACCCAGCATCTTGACTGGAGGTTTCAGGCTGTTATTTCACTTGTCCATCCGTACAGGGAAAGGCAACGCACACGTACATACTGCGAACGCGCGGAGGAAAGGCACCGTGGAAGCGCAACGTGCTGCTTTAAGCTCCCAAAGCACCTGGATGTGGCCGCAGCCAGGGTTCCCCAGAGATGTCCAGCTAAACAGAAAGCCACCAGCAGCCGGTTTTGGGGACCCAGGACTGGAGAAGACATCCCAGGGCACCAAGTCCACTCCTCTGCTGCTGCTGAAGTAAACTCCCTTTGTAATTTTTCTTACTGCCCTTCACCCTTCTAGAGCTATTTCACAACCGTCGGCTTCAATTTAGCTTATTTACAACTGTCTTATGCACGTTTCTCCTCATGACTGTACTTTTATTTTAAGAAGCTCCTTCCTTCTCCTGGTGTTTACAGCCAGCCCCATTCCCTCTCCGACTTCATTTTGTTAGGGACTTATCTAAGCTTTCAGTCTCTGCTCAGAAAATAGCCTGTTCCCTAATCATCCCTGGCCCTGCTCCAGTTCGAATTTATCTCTCTCAAATGTGGGGGACTGGCTCTGCATAAACTATGACAGATAAGATGGCAGGAAGGCCTCGTAAACAGCATTAATACTGCTTTAATTTTTAAGGGAAGAAACTCCCCCGATTCATCCTGGGACCCCGACCCCGTCATTTCCAACTTGCAGCAGAAACTCACAGGTTTAAGTCCCCAGTAGCACAAAATGAAGCACCGCACTCCGTACCACTTCTGTTTCTCCACCGCCCAAGGGTAAGCCCACTTCTCCCAGGCGGTGGTCTAACCCCCTTCGTCACGACCATCCCTGCCGACGTGGTTTTACCAGCGCGTGTTCCCAACGTACCCGTGCGCTTTGCACCGGGCTCACGAAGAAGTCATTGCTGGTCCACCATCCCTCCCTGCTGAAGAGCTTCGCTAACAACCTCTCCTCATCCCAAACAGTGTTAAAAGGGAACTACCAGTACCTTCTCCTTAGGGCTCTCCATCCGATACCATCTCCTTTCCCCAGCTGGGTAAGAGCCTTCTGCAGACCGTGCCTGGGTGCTGCACTTGCCCCTTCGCGCTCTTCCCAGCCTTCTACCGGCAGCTGTTGTCAGAGACTACCGGGCTACCTGGATTTTTACTTTCATCTAACACGGCTGTTCTCCGCCCCGCGCCGTCATCCATGCCGAAACAGAAGCATTTCTTTAAAACTCTGAACCGCAGACAGCCTGCGGATCTGCACTCCTGCTCGCCGCGGTGTCGCCAGACAGGCGTCCCGCCGGCGCTATCGCCGAAAACCTTCCAGTAAGTTAAAAGCACAGCTTTGTCACGCCGAGCACCTTGGCACTTCCCGTGCAGCTAAGCCGATTCGGCTGTCGCGTACGCGACCAAGGTGTCTGAGACGGACCGACACCACCTACAGCACCACGAACGCCGATGCCCGTTCGCAGCCTGCTCGCCAGCAGATAAGCCACCCAGCTGAGCTTGCCATAACGTTAACGCATAGCCTGCACAGACGTGTTTAGCCATTTCGCAACTACGTATAATTAAAATGTTTTTAAACTACAGATTGTCACAAGTCTGTGTATTTAAAACAGGCCTCTCCTTTTCAGTACAAAATGCAACTCCAGAACTCCCGAAGTCAAATAATAATATTAATAATCATATCACCACACACTTGAACACTCTAATTAAACCAGCCTAGATCTGGCCAGTACTCAGATGGACTCCTTGCAAGGTAAAGGCAAGGCAAGTCTGCAGAAAGGCATGCGAGGAGCTCTGAAGAGTCATTTTTTGAGCAATATGCAAACCCAGAAGGCAGTGACTACCAATCATCATCTTCCCTGGCACGTTTCCAGAAGCAGTAGGTGTACTCCTGGCCAAAACCCAACTCTAATTATACAGCGTCCACCTACTCCTAAGTTTCATCCGCAAGTTATTTTTCATGTTCTCTTTATAAAATGTATCGACTCGGGTTACTGGCACAGAACAACTGATGCCTTCTGTCCAAGGCCGGGTGCATTGGAAGGGTATGAGCCAATTCGGATTGTTTTTGTTATTTCCCATCATATTATTTGGACAAAAGACAGAATATCATTAACCAGAATTGACTAAGTCAAGGAGAAGCTTCGCTGTAAAGAAACAAAGCTCACATCCAAGCTTTTACCAAGCTTCAACTTCTTAAATCGATGTAGATTGACAGCTAAACCTCCAGGGTCTGCCATCTGCCAGAGATGCTTCCTACCTCCCTCCTCTGTTCTGAAACGGTCTTATTTGGGCAGCAAAGATCTGATCGATACCAAGATGAGCAGAGGCAGCGACAAAACAACAGCCATTCCCAGACTGAAATGCCTGGTTATCTACTGGTTTCCAGTGCCAGAATGGAAATACATTATTCTGGACACCCCAAACCGCATTTGTGAAGGCTGAAGCACTGCTGAAGCCAGTTTAATTTGAGAACGCTCTGGTGTTAACAAAAATCAATGCTTTTAAGTCTTAGCCTTCAACAGAGAATCTGATTCCCCCCCCCAAGTGACTGCAGAAGCACCCTGTTTATTCTGCTGCAGCCTGCAATCCCCTTCCTATTAGATTTATACTGAGTTCAACTGAACCAGAACTATATGAACAGGTTATGCGGAAGAAATTGGGGTAAGAGAAAGATTTCCTAAAGTTATCAAGAAGGATCCTTAAAATACCATGATAGATTGGGAAGGAGGTGTTTTCCCAACTCTTCTGTGCAAACCCCATCAAAAGCAGCTCAGTCAGTTGTTGGGCTGAAGGAATAAGTCAGTGCAAGACGTAACGGAGATGAACAGACAACCTGCGTCAGCTAATGCCTCTCGCCTCCTCTCTCAGCGTCGCAACGCCTCTGCTTCACAAACACACGAGTTACACATCTAAATAACGTTAGCTTTTTTTGTTTGAAGGGATTTTGTTTGTGTGAGGGGTTATTCTTACCCTTAAATATTCGTTTGCTACAGTTACAGAATTAACAAGTACGTGTTTAAGTCATAGAAATACTTACAGACCAAATAATTATCATCCTTCTAGACACAGAGTGATCTATGTTCCAGTAGGTAAATGGAAGGAAAGTGATATAAAAAATCTCTTCACCCAAAGCAGCTGAAAACTTGAACAAGTAGTAGTAGAAGTAGTTCTTCACAATATACTTCTGCGCGCAACCCTGCAAATGAGAGGATTTTAGAAAGTTTTAGTGAATTAGCAAATTATATAAAACATTTAAGACAATTTAACTGTTACAGTTACCAGCCCTTAAACCAAATAACTTGTTGGAACAAGTGTCAGGAAATGAAGTGCAATTTTTACAGTAAAATTAAGACTACAGCCATAACTCAGTTACATTTCCTGCAGATCAGAAATCTATTCAAACTAAGGGTAGCAGTCACATTGGCAAAGATTTCCAAGAGATCGGATCGGTCTTTCCTCCAAGGAAATCAAGTACATTTAAGAAAGGGTACCGATGCGTTAATTCTGAAGTTTCTACATCTGTAGATAAAAAGAGGCACCGTTGCTTTCGCTGGAAACGTGTTTTGAGATGAAAAAAGTAAACTGCAATTACCGAAGCATTTCATTTTAAATTTGCCTCCTTATAGCAGGCAAAGTTTACCCCGCTAGTCCCTGAAATTTGCCGTCGGGTGCCGCTGGTATCGGCATCCCCCCGCACCGCCCTCAACACCAGGCTCTCGCGGGCGCTTCCGAGCCCGCGGTCCCCCGCGGCGGGATGCTCACCGTTATCGCCCCGCGCTGAAACGCCACGGCTGTAAGCTACAGCCCGTACACCCGAGCTGGCTCAGTAACCGCCGCCGCGTGAGCTGATCCGGGGGAAACAAGGCTGCGCGGGGGCAGAGAGAAGAGCTGCCCCTGTCACCTCCAGTGTCTTTAAGTAAAAACAAGCAGGTTGTCTCCTTAAACATTACCAGCAAACACAGTATTGGGTGACACCGTTTAGGACTTTATTCATTTTATTAAGCTACAGATTTCACTGCTCTCTGGATTTGGCAACTAGATGATTTCATTAGATGCACCCCACCTAAAATACTTGTTTTCTCTCTTCTAAAAGGCTGCGCCCAGCCCGCCGGAGCCGGGAAGCCACACGACAGCGTGTATTATTAAGGCCATGACTTTGGTCACTTGTGGCGAGGTTTGCTGTTGCTGCCGTTTGGGACTAGTAGACCACTAAGAAGCCTCCCAAGCCTGTTAGCAGGAGCAACATGCAAGTGAATCGCATTTTATTTAAACACCTGTACACTTGGGGAAAAAAGGAGATATATATGAAGAGGATTTTTGATTTGGGGGCAGGAGCAAGGGAGCCAATCTAATCTCTCTCCATCTCCCCAAAAAGAAAAAAAAAAAAAGAAGTCGGCTGTGTAAATATGAGGTGAAGGAACTTCCTAAGGATGAGAGCTGAGAAGGGATCATGAAGGTTTCAGCATAGACACACTAAGTTAAGATACAGCTTTGACATATGCTCCTAAAACTCTTCTAAGAGGAAAACTATTATGCTTGGACTTGACTGTGCAACTAATCTACCAGAGAGAAATTTTCATCCTATGTGCCAGTGAGAAAATGTAAAAATCATCTACGGAGTCTAGACATGCATCTGTGACTCATCATAAAAACCATTACAAGTTCCAGTCCCTTAGTCTGCTTTCAATGGAGATGAGGCAAACTGCATGAAGACAACAAAAGCAAGATGGAAAGAAGTTGCATCCATTCACCTATCACAGAAAAAAAACCCAACACCACATTTAAATTGATTTTTGCATCAATAAACAGAAAAGATGAGTCAACGCTTTTGAAAGACTGGGGTCACAGGAGTGTTCCCCCATGTATTAGTAATAGAGGTCACAGATGAGTTACTGGCATCCCTCTCAGATCATTCAGCAGTATGCCACGGCTGAATAACAGAGCGATCAGCCTAAGTGTCTCCAGCCTCATATGCCACTTCGAAAACACCCCCAGTGCAATTAGCAACTCCGACGCTTCTGCCTGAGATCCTGAAACCACATTTGGCCACACTTACATTGCCCCAAAGAAAGCTCTCTTCTGGCTAATTCCTCAATTAAGCATCAGTCTCCAATGTATTAGGAATTATGTGCTCCTGTGCTTTAGATCAAAGATGATCAGACATATCCCTAAGGTAACTCTTTTAGACTTGGACTCGTGGGATGAGGGATAAGACTTTCTAATTCCAGTAATCTGTTGGGTTTGTTGGTTGGGGTTTTTTTTTTTTGGGGGGGGGGCAGGAATAATTCTTCAGGTTCTAAAAGAAATCTGGAGTTAAAAAATATTTCCAGGCAGAAGGCAGGGCCAAGTCTTTCCACATGATTTTTAAAACCTTTCTTTTTTCTTTCTTCTTTTCTTTTCCTATCAGAAATCACTCCCCAGTTGTTTGGGGGGTTTTGTTTGGTTGTTTTTTTTATACACTACACCAGCAGCTGTGGACAGCCCAACATGTGAGGCAGGGGACAAACAGATCACATCTGTGACACACGACGGTAACAGCCACGTGTTAGGCACGCAAGGTATCACACCATCGCTCCACTTCATTTTAGGTAGCGTACGGCAATAAAAGCAGCGATGTTTTCATTCATTGCGATCCTAAAGCATTGTACATACAGAAAGTCCACCCCATGCACCTTTGTACCCTGGCCCATGAGAGGTCTGCGTTCCGTTGCAGCAGCTAGCTCACATTTACTATTTATATCCATTCTTTCTGCAGAAAGCAGACTACTGTGCTTTGTGAAGTGCCTTCCCTTTTTATTCTAACTCCAGTGCAGGAAAAAGCCATTGCAATTATTTGTGTGAACATTTAGCATCTTCTAACGCTCTCAGAAGTTTATTCAGTCTCTACTTTTAAATAACTCTGGATCTTTAGACTTGTTTATATTTAATGCACTGAAGTGACCTGATGCCTTCCACAACCTCTGAAGACTTTCAGTGAGTCAGTCCCTCCATCCATCTCCGTCACTATTCCCTCTGGATCAGAGAAATTTTAATGGGCAGTAATTAAGGCTGTAGAGAAAGCCAGAATTTTAAGAACACTTCAGAAGCAAGGTGTAATAAGCCACGACATTCGCAGACACAGACGACAGGTAATTTCACACAAATGACCCTTCTCATCAACTATAAAATATCTATTTTGAAAAAACTTAACTGCTCAAATTACAAGAGACTCACACGTTCATGTGAGTCTCCATAAATTAAATACTCACCTGAAGTATTGGCACAGAAAATGGCTCTTGCAGGACACCCTAATTTCTCAATCTCTGCACGCTGGTCACGGGTGGGTCACCCACGGCGGGCGCTGCCCCCCGCACGCTCGGGGGTCCGAGGACAGCCCCTACGCTGCCGCAGCGCCCACCCAACCTCCCCCGGCGCGTGGGAGCATCCCCAAAGTCTCCCTGCGGAGCGGTAACGACAGGGCCAGCAGAGCAGCTCAAACCACCACCGCGGCGACTCTTGGGAGATACTAACACAATGACACAGTATGGCAGGAATCCATCATTCCAGACAGCACATACATAAAGAATATTTAGCCTTTATAGCTGAAGTAAAGGAACAGCAGCTGAACCACTAACGTAATGGATTTAAAATGTATTTTTAGGCAGAGGTACACCCCCCCAAAACAAAAAAAAACACATGTAAAGATACCACTCCTTGCAATTCCTGTAGAATCTCTCTTGTCGGGCACCGGCTTTCCCTGCCCCGTCTCTAGAGACAAGCTTCGCAGCATCAGACATCTAAGGCTCAGAGCCCTGACCCAGAGACACCATTAACCAGCGTTTTGTTCTCAGCTCTCAATTACTTTGGATCTTTCAGAACACGTACGTGTTTAATTAAAGTTCTTGAAGTCCCTTGCTTCCCTTCCAACAGAATTGCCTTGCAGAAGATCAGGAATTTCCCTCCCAAAGTCCTGAGTTAATGCATTGCGATACTTCTCACTTAAGGGAAGGGAGTTTTTTATGCTGCAAAAAGGCACAAAATTTAGAGAAACCACCAAAGACCAGGCACGAGGATAAAAAGCCAAACATTCCCGTCTAGATGCTGCTCTACACGGAGACAACAGAAATCAGACAATCCAGTCCCGCAGTGCAGTACTGCGTGGAGCGTAACCGGTGGGGAAAAAGCCTTCTGTATTGCAGTATTCTGTATAAGCGGTCAGTTTTACGTCACTTCTATGTTTCTTAACTGTACCCAGTTAATAAAACAACCCATCACATCACAACCAAAACTTAGGTACCGGTGATCCGATTTTGGAAAAATAAGAAAAAGCAAAAACGACGATATCAAAGGCTTCAGCTCTTCCATCCATCTGCACCGCTAAGTGTCAAACAATCTCAGAGCTTTCTGAAGCTCCAGCTGAGAGCAGCCAGTAACATCGCCAGCACCTATGCATTCACCCCTCCTGGGAGCACCAACGCTAGAAACTCACCGCTCCAAGATGAAAGAACAGGGTGGCCAGGAAAAAGGGGCTGTGCCCCAGTGAGAGATCCTGGTGTGGCCCTCGCAGGGAGGGCTTGGGGGCACAGGACCGGTGGCGAGGGAGGAGGCAGCAAAGGAGGGATACAGACACACGGAAGAAATTGCAGAGATGTCAAAGAGAGCAGAGGGGAAGGCAGTAGCACACAGAGCCTACAAAATGCACATAAGGAGCCCCAAGGCACGAAAAGCTTACCTAACCCAGCTCATATCCACGTGCAGCTTCCCACCCTGTTCAAGCGCTTTTAATCAGGTAATTATTTTCTTTTTCTCCCCCCACCCCCCGAATGCGATGCAGCCAGTTAACAAGGGTTGTCCAGGTTTATATAGCATCCTTGTTGTTGAAGAGACACCTAGAGCTAACCGAAACCTGAGAAACGTGGGGATGGAGACAAACAGAAATCACGAGAAAACCCTCCTTCAAGGCTATCAAGTTCTGACCAGCTCTGCTATTAGCAGAAAGGGCTTGTTGGCTACTACACAAGTAGGCAGCGTCCAACTCGCAGCTGTTGCGCATGCATTTGTAGTGGCATGCACCAATGGCGTAATGATGGGGGACGTGGCCTTGGATCATCATTTGATGCAGAAGCAAGACAATCTCTGCATGAGAAGTAACAACGTGCGAGCTTCAAGCCAGGCAACCATAATGCTGTCAGTAGTCTCAGGCACAGGACAAGCAGG